ACTATGTTATATACCATTCTGAATTACTATAATATATAAGATTCTAACAGTTCATTTAGAACTATGTTATATTCCATTCTGAATAAATATAGTATATAAAATTCTAACAGCTCCTTTAGAAATATGTTATATACCATTCTGAACTACTATAATATATCTATAATGTATAATATTCTAACAATTCAATTAGAACTGTGTTATATACCATTCTGAATAACTATAACATACAAGATTCTATCAGTTCATTTAGAACTATGTTATATACCATTCTGAATAACTATAACATATAAGATTCTATCGGTTCATTTAGAACTATGTTATATACCATTCTGAATAACTATAACATATAAGATTCTATCAGTTCATTTAGCACCATGTTATATACCATTCTGTAGTACTATAACATATAAGATTCAATCGGTTCATTTAGAACTATGTTATATACCATTCTGAATAACTATAGTATATAAAATTCTAACAGCTCAATTAGAACTATGTTATATATCATTCTGAATAACTATAATATATAAGATTCTATCGGTTCATTTAGAACTATGTTATATACCATTCTGAATTACTATAATATAACTATAATATATAATATTCTAACAGTTCATTTACAACTATGTTATATACCATTCTGAATTACTATAATATAACTATAATATATAATATTCTAGCAGTTCATTTAGCACTATGTTATATACCATCCTGAATTACTATAATATAACTATAATATATCATATTCTAACAGTTCATTTAGAACTATGTTATATACCATCCTGAATTACTATAATATAACTATAATATATCATATTCTAACAGTTCATTTAGAACTATGTTATATACCATTTTGAATTACTATAATATAACTATAGTATATAAGATTCTAACAGCTCATTTAGAACTATGTTATATACCATTCTGAATTACTATAGTATTATTATAATATATAAGAATCTAACGATTCATTTAGAACTATGGTATATACCATTCTGAATAACTATAACATATAAGATTCTAACGATTCATTTAGAACTATGTTATATACCATTCTGAATTACTATAGTATTGTTATAATATATAAGAATATAACGGTTCATTTAGAACTATGTTATATACCATTCTGAATTACTATAGTATTGTTATAATATATAAGAATATAACGATTCATTTAGAACTATGTTATATACCATTCTGAATTACTATAGTATTGTTATAATATATAAGAATATAACGGTTCATTTAGAACTATGTTATATACCATTCTGAATTACTATAGTATTACTGTAATATATCAGATTCTAACTGCTCATTTTGAACTATGTTGTATATATACTATACCATTCTGAATTGCTACGTAATCAGATTCTAACAGTCAAATATGTTGTTGTTATTATTATGATTATTGTGTACAGTGATTACCTAGTATGAGTAATATATCACTTCAATCATACAATATTATATCATACTACAATTAACTACATCTTATTTACACCTAATTTTCAATAGGGTTGTACCACACTCCTTATTAACCCTTACCCCTCCAGCAATTTGACGTAATTTCTCACTACACTGAAGATAAAAGATTAAGGGTTAACACATACGAGTAGACCGACAAAGCCAAGTTAATGAGCGAACGTTAAAATAAGATGATATGATTTGTTCAAAGGTATGAAAGTATAATAAAATTATCATTCTAACCAGTTGTTCACCATAATAAAATGTTTTAATGTTTTTAATTGGGTTATAATTAAACTAAAGTTAAACACCTGCCTAATAATCACATGATATCAATTATCAATCATTTATTATTTTAAGAGTTTAATATTATCAAACAGATTGGTGAACAAGATAAAGACTCAAAATTGCATAATTTATAGGTAAACGTACTAATTCAGATTTAAAAAAAGGTTCTTTTTGCTGCAAAATGTCACGGTATTGTTGAAAGATACTTTTGCGACATTGTAATATAACTTGTCAGATTCTTTATTTATGTTTTAAATTTCAACATATTACTGTATTATATACTATGTTACATTGTGGTACATGATATATCATTATCATAGAAATTGATCCTCATGTTGACAAAATAACGCATTTACATTGATTTGATTTGTTCATCTGAAGAACTGTTTGGAGATCGATATGGTTCAATCAGACCAAGGGAGGTAACTTCCGTTTACAACTGACCGGTGTTTTATTTTTTTGTTCACGGTCACAGTTGCATAGCCAGCAGTGAGTTGTTGCTTCCTTGGTAGATCATTGTCGTGATACAGTCATGGTAAACTTAGAGAGGCAGTCCTCGATCCCTACTACTGGGATAAGACGTCACGCGTTATTCCATAAAGGATTTGTTAGAACATTGTGAAGTAATACTAGTTGTCTATCTTCAATGTTTTCATCACTGTTTTACTGTTAGTTCTCGTAGTTATGATGCCATTAGTATTGTCAGCGATTCTTTGAGGTGACTATTTGGCAGACTCAGAGTACAATCAGGTGTATGGCATGCCTAATTTTATTTTACATATTTGAGTAAGTTGTTGCAAGCAATAAATACAACAACTTAGTAGGAATATAAATATTTATTGCAGCAAAATAGAACGGTACAATTTTATAATAAATTAACATGAATATTTACAAATGGTAGAAAAAATAAACATTTGGAATGTGAACAATTAAAATGAGCAATATTTTTCAGTAACTTTAATACTGATAGAGATTGATAACGTGTTAGCAAAATCAGACAGTTACCATATTTTTTTTGCAAAGTTTCAAAAATAATGCTAAAAATGCTAAAGCGAATTATAAATTTCGAATGCATATTTAAGTAGCATGTTTTCATAGCGCATCACATCGACACAATGTCAAGCTATCACGAACTGCTTCTAATACAAGAAAGTTGGCTATTTCCGTCAAGGTATTATACGCTGTTCGTGACGATGAGCTTATCATTGTTCATAATTGTCTGCAAATACAACAAAATGGTATAATGACAGGCTTGACTGTACGCATATAATAACACAGTAGTCATACAGATTAATACATAATACAAATTTTCTTAACTAAGTTAGGGAATATTGAAAATAACCTACCTATACATCGCTGTACTAATACATTGACAGAGTAATGAATAAATGAGCCCACGCGACGTTGAGACAGTTTTGAAGTTAAATAAAATATATAATAACAATTTGATAAAACACCATCGTTGTAGTTCCAAAATTTAACAATTTCTTTCAAAGAAAGCGTTCAATAATACTGATCGCTATTGACCTTAAAATTTCTTCAGGTTACATACTGTGCATATTGATACGCGACACCACTACGTAAGATATATTTCAATAGGATTACATATATAAATATAATTAAGTAAACATAAAACTCTTCTTAAATAAATGATTTTTAAAAAACAAGCTACATAAATATTATGAACTTGATTCAAGCATAGCTTATTTAAAATGCTATGCATTGAGCCAAATTATTACAATGTCAAATTAAATCTTAAATGATGTAAAGGTGCCCCCACACCATAGTAATCAGAAATTGCGTATGGTTGCAAATAAGAATAGCGATCATAAGTTTCGAACTAAAATCACTTGCAACCATACGCAACTGGTAATTGCTATGTTACCAGGGTACCTTAAATGTAAATGTGAAAAGCTAAAACTTAATTTACAAAGCTTCTACTTGTTTGAAATATATTTACATTGAATTTCAATCCACAAATTTTATTTTTTTTTTCTCCAATGACTTTCTTCCTTTAAAAAAAATAAAAGAAGAACTTGTATTTAAATGACATTGATTAAATTACTATTACTTTCTCTAACAATTCTTACAAAAATATAATCCCAAATCAAAATAAGGGTTTATGTGAAAATAAAATAAATAGAAAAGAAATTGTATTTTATTACTCGACATCGATTGATCTTCCATCAAATTTTATAACCTTTTCAGGTTTTTATTTGAAATGTTGAAAAGAAAGAGTGTCAATCGGAAAGCGTATGGGGGTAGAAGTCATTCTTCTTTTTTGGAAGGGTATTATTCTGATTAGCACCAATATCTTCAGCTGTCAGGAAAATGATGAGATGAACCAATGAAATAGCGTAACAGACAGCTATTAACCAATGGAAACTAAGCACTATTATTGTGTTGCGTCATATTACAATCTGTAAAGTTAAGAAAAGAAAAAAGAAATTAAAGAATGTTTACTTAACAATGACACAGTGAACAAAGAAACTTGAAGATTTCTAAATTATAATAAAGAACAATATGAAATGTGTATGAGATAATATAAAAGAATTGTAATAGGATATTTATGATCATACTATCATATTTAATCAATATTACAACTATCATACTTAAATTATTGATTCTAAACAACTTGTTGATTTTCCATTCACTCTGATTTGGATTTTAGACATGGGACATGATGTTGCCCAAGTATTCTACAATGATTTATATTCTCTATGACATAATGTATTTCCAAAGTATTGATAATAATTTTACACATAATTTTGTACATTGCCTAAAAAAACACTAAAACCAAGGACGATCACCCAAAAAAGTAGTTTTGAAAAAAGTAATAAAATTATAAGCATGCATATTCCTTTGAAGAATTCCTAAATTTAAGAAGTACAACCCAGAAAATTATTATTTGAGCGGCGCAGAGTATATTATGTTCATCATATTCCTTATGAATTCATTAAGTCACAAGCAATGATTTCATAATAACTTAAGATGGAATCAATCTTGGTAAAAACTTATGTAACTTGTGCTCATCTGAGATAAATTATGTTTTATTTTTAAACCAATATGACCGAGTTTATACTAAATACATTTATGAAAATTTATGATTTTTGGATAATCAAGACTACAATATGCAGGCAGTGCCGATACAGCATGGTTATTAAGAACTGTACGAATTCAAAAACGCCAGAAATATGTATCATAATACAATACAAACGAAAAATTGTATAATAGAAAAACCTACCTTCAACTTAAAACCAATTTGCAAAATCCAGCAAATCTTCATCTTCAGCACTAAGGTTCTCGTATGATGTCTGTGATGACGGTGATGATATTGGTGATGATGGTGAGTTCAATGATGTTCCAGTAGATAATGTTGGTGACAAACCTGGTGATAATGGTTTAGAATCACCAGCAGCTCTAATGGGTGACTTCTCAATAGTTGCACCACATTCTTCCATCATGCCTTGTAGGTATCTGATATATTCTATAGCTGCGCGTAATGTCTCTACTTTACTTAATTTACGACTTTTACCACCTTTAGACAGCTGTGGTATGTGTTCACGTAAAGTGGCAAATGTCATATTAATCAATTTCACCCGATTTCTTTCCCGTTCATTTCTCCTTGCCACAGAAACAGTTTGCGGTCGCTGTAATCCTAAATAATTGTTATTTTCTGCAAAGTCCAGTTTACGTTTGCATTGAGATATTTCCCTGATATTCTCCTTGGAATTCATGTTTATTCCAAGATCAATTCCTTTCATGTTTGGACTGGAATGGGTAGGAGATGTTGAGAACATACATGATGGTCTATCCATAAAAGCAGCAAAGAATTCGGCAGTTGTTGGAGACATATCTAATATTGGTGATAATCCTGATTCTAAACGATGTGGAGACGAAAACATCTTAGATTCCATGATAAGCGCGTGCCAGGAATCAAGCAATTCCTTATAATGAAGATCTCTAACTAGGGTGACGTATTTAAGGAAATATTTTCTCAAAGACTCTTGTCGCCTAATTTATACCCTCCTAAGGACAGAATTAGGCTCCTCCTTCTTTACCACTTATCTATTCTTTCATTCTCATCTTTGTCGCAATATGCACGTGGCGTTTTACATCAGTTAACATGTGAACAACAGATTCAAGACTTCTGCTCATTTTCACCTCGTCTAACTGTTCTTATTCACTTTTATCTAAAATACTTTTTAATTATTCAAAACATTTTACACCGTTTTTGTTATTTCAACAACGCTTTTCTTAAACTGTTCAAACATTATTAAAGGTTTTTTGTTATCAAGTGATTTATTGGCATCTATTATTCATAATTCAACAGTTTAGGTTTCAATTAGTAATATTAGATATTAGTGTGTAAAGACAATTAATATTCATTAGGATATCGCCTTTCACCTTACTGACTTTGGGTGTTCTTAATAAATGCTGATTTTAAATTAGTAATTGTTAGATGTAATCGAATCAGATCCTTGAGCAAGCATTTTATGTAGTAATAATATACTTTATAGTAAAGGTTTACAATAGCTCAGATTTCGATCTACTGAAGCACATACCAAGCTTAATTAATATATTCAGTATTAAGTAGTAGGGGTCAGTGGCGGCGCTATTTGAGGAAAAATTGGGAGGGGCGGGGGACATTTGCTACCTTAGAAAAATGGTCTGTACCCCTAGTTCTACCCCCACTTCATTTCCTATAAATTCAAAAATATTATCAAAAATATGCCAATTCTTTTTTCAAGAAATTCTTAGGGGTGAACCTTCTCAAACGGTCCATGTATTAAGCAGGTTCGCGCTTTTACCCTTCACAGAGCTGCCGCATTTGAACCATTGTTTGACAATTGCCGAAATAAGTCTGCCCACTATATGAGACCCCTGTCTCGAGAGGCTGACGTCGCCTTTGGTAGGGTTTTTGTTTTTGGTCAATCCACGCAGTCTTTTTGTTTTTATACGCCAACATTATAATGTGGTATGTCCGTTCACATTTAGCTCGTGCTCACTCTACAGGCTACAATTCTTTATGGATTCTTTTGCTTTTTATTTTGTGGGCCAAAATATCGCGTCCGAGTTAGCGTTTTCACTCTATTAGTTATATTGTGCAACCCATGCTAACTCTACAGGACAAAGTTCTTCATGGAATCCTTTGATTTTATTTTGTGGGTCAATGTCATTGTGAAGATGATCCCTATCGATTTTCGATGATCTGATAATATTTCACCAAAATGTTGTTTCCATCTTTAAGTGTATTCATTTTCACTCTATTAGCCATATAGTGCTCACAAGCAACAATTCTTTATGGACTTCCGTCCGTCCGTTACAGGGGTAATTTTCCTGTGACCAAATTATTGTGTGACCTTTTTACTGTGACCAAATTTCCGGTGACCGAATTTCCTGTGACCTAATTATCGCGCCTCATCGAGTACAAGTAATGTAATGATATTGACGTACAGATATAGTACAAGTATAACGTCATTGTGCAATAAAATTAATCGTGCAAAGGTTAATGAGGTTGAAATGAAGAAGTGTCGCACATTGGATTTTAATTCTAAAAAGTGATACTTTAGCTCGATCACCTGGCTAAGCTATTTTTAGACGACTTCTTTCCAGAACAGCACTCAAATAATACAAGATAGCCTCATTAGGGAATTTATTTGTACTAAGATTTTGCAAAGTTTCTTGCGAAATACACTTTAGTAATGTCTCAAAATTTGTATACATTTGCTGTAAGGTAAATATTAAAATAATCGAAAATGAAAAAAAATTAAGAATCATATTATTTGTAAATAGACTCGGATGTCGACAGTATAAATTAAATGAGAAGTTCGATATTCATCTTAACCTTTTGCCCAAAAATTATGGAACGTCTACATGGATTATATACCCTCATATTTTTTACTTAGAAACTGGACCGAAATATACATCTAAGCCTTCAAAAGAATTTTTCGTCACCAAATATCGATCTATTTTACAAACTTTTCAAACTTTATCCGGCACAAGATAAACATGTTCTCGATAACTAATAAAGCATTTTCATAAAAGATAAGTGAAACATATGCTGGGGTATTTAAAATGTCAAATATGCTTTCAAAATCATTCAAGTAAATTCCGATAACAAAATATTCTGAGTAACAATTTACTATTGACAGATCTTGTCTGTATGCTTACACGTGTTCGAACAAGCAGTTTCTAATTAACCAAATCTGATAATTGAATAATTAGAAATATTATCTCAACATATCAATATTCAATTGTGGCTAAGTACACGTTTACCATTTAGTAGAGCAATATTAGAAGCATACCATATTTTAATAACCAGATACCAATCAACCCACGTCCTGGCAGGTATGCTAGTGATATGTATGATAGAGCTGATAAAGCTGATAGCTTTATTTTTGTTGATAAGATATGTAGTTAGTACGCTTTGTGTATATGTAACAGCAAGATGTCAGATTAAATCTATGATATTATGCATAATGCACAGCATATTGATTGTTACACAAGTTGGCAAGAAGAAAATTTAGTGCACCAGTAAATTGTATAGTTTATAAATTATAGTTGACAAATTTTTCATCATTGTGCTTAACCATCCAATAATAGCTGCATCGTATCTCGTTATAAAACCGTACACTTGTTTTATACGCCAACATGAAAATGTTTACGTATATTTCCGTTGCCCTTCCCGTCCGTCCGTCTACATTTTTTTGTGGACACGATAGAGGCTACAGTTTTTATCCAATCTTGATGATACTTGGTATGCATGTATATATGCGTTAGATCTCGGTTCAAATTTGGTGATAATCGGAAGAACGCTTTCCGAGTTATTGGCCTTGACTTATGAAAAACGCAACAAATTTGGCATGTGGACACCATAAAACTTTTTATCTGATCTTGATGAAACTTGGTATGTTTGCTATATTGATGAGATCTCACTTTGGTATCAATCGAATAAAGGGTTTTTGAGTGTAATTTGGCTTGCGGACACTATCCGCATATTGTCCAATATTGATGAAACTATGTATATATTGATGAAATCTGAGTCAATTTGAATTTGATAATAATCGGATAATGGGTACATACAGTTTTCATCTGATCTTGGTGAAAGCTGGTATACTTTATTGATCGAGTTTGAGTTGTCAATTGTTTGAAATAATATAGAGGCAACAATTATACAATTTGATGGAATTTGAAACAATGTATATGTTGATGAGACCTTTGTACGCCTACACATTAAAATGGGCGTATAAAGTCGTCTGTCTGTTAGTCTATCTGGCTGGTTATCTGGCTGGTTGGGACACGAGAGCTGGTTTCTTATGGAGTTTGATAAAATAGGAAAAATATATGAGTTATTGTCCTTGTTCTTAAAAACTCGTTAAATTTATATTTGAAAATGTGTGGTTGACACGATAGAGAGCTGGTTTCTTGATGTATTTTGATAAAAGTTTGTGTCAATGATGAGCCCTGTTGAAAATCAGGCAAATATTGTATTGCCGTTGTTCTTGAAAACGCATTTAATTTTATTTGAAAATGCGTTGTGGGCACGATAGAGATCTGGTTTCTTGATGGATTTTGATAAAATTTGTGTCACTGTTTGTTATCATCTAATGGTGAAATATATTCTATAGGAGTTATTGCCCTTGTTCTTGAAACGCGTTCAATTTTCAGCTTGTGAAAGGTCTAGGTCTTGACAAATATTGACGAAACGTGGTGAAATTGTTTATTATTTACCAAATGTTGTACGTTAATAGATATTTTAAACAAAAATCTAAAAATCATCTATTGCCCTTGTCTTTGAAATCTTGTTCTGACACAAATCTCAACAGATTTTAACGAACCGTATTAAAAAGCAAAACAAATATTTAATATTGGTTATTGCACTTGTTTTTAAAAAGAGAAAATCTTTACTGATTTAGACGAAAATGGGTGAAATTGTTTAATTATCACTTAAGAAAGAACCCGTTCGAAAATAAAAATAGAGAAAAAGGCAGTGAAAAACGCTCTTTTATGAAAATATTTTATTTATCCCCGGACGACATGGCTGTCATTACAATTGTAGGCGTATAACGATGGTCGTCGCTATTTTTAATTTGATGAGAATTTTATAAACTGTATGGACTATTTATAGACTTATAGACTATTTTTAAATGATTTAAAATGGTGATAAGTGTAGACAATTTGGTGAAGTTTGGTTATTGCTATGGATAAAAAAAAATAGATAGAATGTGCCAAAAAACAGTATAAATAACTGACATTAAATTGATGAGATATATGCTAAATTTGTATTCTAGTCACTAAAAACCTGGTTATCATTTCCGCAAGAGGGTTTATGTTATCTTGCCTGGCAAGCTATCTCATGTCAAAAATGCTCACTGGTTTTATAACTAAACTGTACCTTTGTTTTATAACTAAACTGTACATTTGTTTTATAACTAAACTGTACATTTGTTTTATAACTAAACTTTACACTTGTTTTATAACTAAACTGTACATTTGATTTTAACTAAACTGTACATTTGATTTATCACTAAACTTTACACCGGTTTTATAACTAAACTGTACATTTGTTTTATAATTAAACTGTACATTTGATTTATCACTAAACTGTACATTTGATTTATCACTAAACTGTACATTTGGTTTAAAACTAAACTGTACACTTGTTATATAACTAAACTTTACACTTGTTTTATAACTAAACTGTACATTTGGTTTAAAACTAAAATGTATATTTGTTTTATAACTAAACTTTACACTTGTTTTATAACTAAACTGTACATTTGATTTATAACTAAACTGTACACTTGTTATATAACTAAACTGTACATTTGATTTATAACTAAACTGTACACTTGTTATATAACTAAACTGTACATTTGATTTATAACTAAACTGTACACTTGCTATATAAGTAAACTGTACACTTGTTATAGAACTGAACTTTACACTTGTTATATAACTAAAATGTACATCTGATTTATAACTAAACTGTACACTTGTTATATAACTAAACTATACACTCGATTCATAACTTAACTGCACACATCTTTTAAGTCTAAACTGTACACATCTTTTATAATAAAATCGGACACTCCCCTTTATAAGCTGCACTTGTTTCATTACCAAACTTTATGAAACGTTAACTTTTTTGTGTGCACATGATAGTTTTTATAATTTGCCAAAGGGCCAGGGTTAGGAGAAGACCATTGGTAGGGGTTGGGGCATGAAACAACAGAAACACCAAAAGATGTTATATCTAAAGGAGGTGATTTTGAGCTCGAATAACATCATCAAGATCAACTAACTTGATGTAATCTGGCGGTAAGCCATACAGGCCGTACTGGGCGGAATGGTTTTAGTGATCCGCCCTATACATAACTACCAAAAATTAATTCTGGAACAAATTTTGCGATAAAATAAGGTGAGTTTTTTTTATACTGTGCAATTTTTAAGTGCACAGGCCATATAAATAATGTGTAAATTGTTTAAACTATAATTCGTTCGAGGTGTTACAGTAGCGTAGTTGTAATAAAAGTAAAGTGAGTACATCTATTCACAACTCTGATCGATTAGGCAATGGGTGAATACATCATGATTTGTAAAGGGGGGAGACGTACACAAAGAGTGTATCAGCTAAGAATGAAAGAAGAACGTGCAACACTTAAAAAACTTTTTTCTTTCTGTACAAGATTAGAATGAGGATACGGTGAATGACCCAGAAATAAGCGTGGCTTTAAAGATTTGCATTAGTTTTTTTTTATTACGAAATCGACTTGAAGATGAATGTATTAATAGCTTCACGAGCGCCCTAACTTCTTTATTTGTATTTCTGCAATGCATAATATAGCATTTCCGTTTTTGCTGTAAAAAAGCAAGGTGCATTTATGACATTTCAGTTTTTGCTGTAAAACGGCAAGTGC